TCTGCTGATGACAAATACGCCTCACTCTTGCTTCTAAGTACGACTTGATTAATTCTTGTAAAACCGTATACTGTATATTGATTTTATACAACAGCTCCTCTTATAAATGATATCTTCTAAGTCTTCTTATGCTCAACATGGATTTGTAATATTGAGTTGTTACTGAAATGACCTTCTTATTCTTTTGATGAGAAAGGCATTCTTAGCTTAAGAGTCTATCGATAGCCTCAAGGATTAGAAGGCAATTAATCAATGTGGATACTGTAAGGATTTAATTTAGTCTCTTCATATCAGAATCAGGTTTTCCCCCTTTGTAGCTCTTTTGGCTTATATAAGAATATACGTAACCTTCATAATGTTAATATTTGACATTCGAAAATGTAGTATTAAGTAACATAGGTCGCATACATCGCTTTTGCACTTTTATAAGTGGAATAAAGGATATTACCAAAATGATAAATGTGACGTCACATTACCAAAGGAAACATATGATTTGGACATCCAAACAATTGTTTGGCGAGTCGAAGCCACACGCCGAACTAAACATAGACGTGAGGACAGGAAGTTGGAGTACATTTGCCATAATTACAACATACATCCAAACCATATGAAATCACTATTATGTCTATAGCGTGTAAATGTAATCAAAGGCTATTTGATAAAGATCAATAATTTATATCAAAAGACAGTAGGCCCCTCGTTATCATTTGATTCAAATGGACATTTGCAGTGCTAAGGAAGTATGTCTTTTATGGAAATATATTTCATATTACAACAGTAACAAAAGTCTTCGTAAAGAGGCTCGTTGTTACACCTGATATCACGTCATCTTTAAACGTAGTGGTTTACATGTCTTTTGGTGACAGCTGCGGTAAAAATACCGAATAACGAAATACACATTTCCATTAACATCACAAAAAATGCTTTTTCCTACTAAGTTTTAGACAATCATCTAACTTTTCAATGACATATCTTCAATGCGCATTTGATTCAGTGATAGTCCCTGTATTTTACACCTGTTTCAACAAAATGAAAAAAAACAACATATAAAGACATTTTATGTTACTACTTTTATTTATAATCAGTGAACTGAAGTTTTATAACTATATCCTTTGGAAAAAATTACCTATTGCGTCTATGATCAAGCAATGTTATCGCAAAATGTTTTTTGTTAAATGTACATATACATATTAATATCTACGGTTATGGCGTATTAAATATATTCAAAACATGCGACAAGGTACAATAACGTTTGTGACAACAAATGGGCTGTATTTGGTGACAAACCACCAAATCAATAATATATCATGTTAATAATAGCATATAAAAGCTATAGCCATTAGCATATTCTATAAATAATACTATCATGTAAATATTGATATTTCATAGATATATTGATTTAAAGAGACATTTCCACATGCTAAAATGAATGTATCAAGAGGTTTCAACCTACATTTTTTTGTAATAATTCTTTTTGTGTAGAATTAATGGGAACCCCCCAAAAAGGTAACAACAAAACAAACTGTCTTAATTTGAAAACAGAGAAAAAGACTCATAATCGCTAGAGGCCGTACAAAAGGAATTTTGTGAAAACAAGAGGGCTTCGTTCTGCACATTTCTTTTTTTTATTTATTATTATGACAGATTGATGAACTACGAAAGTTATAAAATAAGATCAGTTTATACTGTATAAGTGTACTTTTGTATAAAAACTTGACAAGATGGTGCATCATGAAATCTCGTATTATAGGATGGAGCATATGTCTTTTATATGGACGAATTTTAGAGTCGGTTAAAAATGCTGCATTGTTTTTGCTGAAAGCAGGGGATATATGGGGGGGGGGTCATTTTAAATCCATGGCTTTACAAACAGAACAGAAATGTTTTAAAACATTAACGTCGTAGAGGAATCGGTGTTTTTTTTTCTATAATTCTTTTTCAGCACTTCGTTCCATCATGCCAATAATTTGCATATAAACCTAAACGAGCTTTAATCAGAAATTCAAAAAACAATCATGTGAAAATCAAATGTTTTCGGAAATCGAACCCGCAATATCGATGTCACGGCGCCACAGCAAAACTACGTACTTCTTTGTTTTCTTTTCTGTCTTTTTTTGCGACTGAAGAGGACAAATGAATCACATTATTATATCTATATAGCACGGTAACCTAATTCCTGTACTCAAATGGTTAGAGGCAACATTTTCCCTCCCATTCTTCTCAATAAAACAGAGGTGTGTTTTTGTCGTGGCTATATATTAACCATGGCGTTTGAAATTCAAATTTGTTTATCAGAAATAAGTCTCAATGTATCATGAATATGTTGAAGAGGTCCAGTATTTTGAAGTTACTTCTGGAAATGTCCCTTTAAGGTGCAGACTTACCCAGCTTGACTTAATATCAATTATAAACAATTAAGCAATAATTAATCACTTCCTCGCGTTTATCAAAACGTTTGTTATTATTGAAATATGAAATGGAATAAGTTATTAAGGTATACATTGACAAAGCGACGAAGAAGTAAATTTAAACATTGTATGAAAGGCTGATAGTGGGATATTATCCAGTACTAATCCATCTGGAACTCTACATATTGATTACATATTCAGATACAACATGCATGCATTTACATTTTACAATGTTAATATCAAAATGTGTATTTCACACTGCGATATTTGAATTGTCTGTGCGTAGTAAAAAATATCTGAAGAGCTTGTAGCTTTGGAACAATGTCACCAACATGTTGTGACATATATTTTCATCGTATCCTAATAGAAAATATTGTATCATGCTAGTCACTGAAAAGCTGAAAACATGTATTGAAAATAGAAGTTGTATACTTGATCTATTCAAATGATATATTACGGACTGACAAAACATGTATGCCTTTGAAATTTAGTTATGAGTTGTGTTTTTAGTTCCAAGTTAACGCCCATACGTCTTATAAATACGATTATTTCTAAACATGCTATGTTAAAGCCTCATCTTATGAAGAGATATTTGCTACAGACCTAAAGCTGTCTTGATCATCTCCGCCCCTTTCTAAATGGTGAGATGGTTGGAATACTATTTTAAGAGTTCTCGTTCAACTCCAACAACCCAGGTGGAGTATAAATTGGTCTGGGGTGTATGTTGCGGTATCTGTGCTGTAGCATTCAAGTGAGGTGGTGTCACTATAAATGATGCCGTTGGAAGCACGGTCCCACTACAAACAGAACACATGACATCTCCAGCACACACACAGTCATACGCACATAGGGAGATTTTAGCCAGGTGGAATAGGACTAGTAGTTAGCGCCTGAATTACTCAAAATTGTATCATTAAATGTATATCTATGTACTGTAAAGTGCTTTAGAGTGGCTTATGTAAGCTAGATAGGGCGGTATATCAAATGCTGTGTATTATATTATTATTAGATAACATCTATAATTCATAAAGTGTCAACTGTATTGCACAGTTGACTAAATTTAATCATCGTTTAATAAACATTTTTGCATGAATATTATTCATTTTGACTATTTTGTACTTGCTTTGCCTTTTGTTTTGATTTAATGGACACACGATAAGCTTTCATTGCAATGTAATCAATGCATGACCAAGAAAATACCCCTACTTCCTTCTTAAGGTATAGTTCATTACAACTTATATATCTCGACACCATGTATGCATCTTTATACTAGACATAACAATCTTCTTTCGTGCCAAACACATCGGCAATGTAAGCTAGGAATCACAGAACCCGATCATTCTCCAGACGCGACAGTGTCAGACCTAAGTGTGCTGCCAGACAATATTTAGTTATGAAACATGCGTTGTTGTGGCATTAAGTTTGTCATATAACACACTAATTACATATCACCAGTCTACTCAAGTATGACAGATCGTCTCTGCATTGAATCCATACAAAAAAATCATTATCAGTCTATGAAATTGAATTCCATATTTAAAAAGTCGCCAGTCCTATTCAATAGTTGGTTCAGTGCGTCATACCCATGTGTGTATGCATTAAATGCCAGTCAGTGTATCTAAACAAACCAATGTGCATGATTAGCATGCTTTAATAGTGCAGAGTAAATCAGTATTTCGTTATATATTTTTGACGTATTTAGATATTTAAAAAAAATGCACATTCATATCCAACACATTGCGTAAAATAAACTGCATAACGATAAATACGGAGCCTATAGAAATATAACAGCATTTTCAATATCATATATTGTAACTACATACTAGACCAATACATAGTGCTACCAATAGGCTTGAATATCAGTTCGAAATAACACAATGTTATTTTAGGCGTGTTGTACGTGTTAAGGTTCCTGTCCCATTGCAGACGAAACGGTAGATAACTCCACTGTAATAGTTTTGTACACACAGAAACTTTCCCTAAATTTCGTTTTGGGTATAACTGGTGCAAAACGGTAAGGAATCTCTTGTTGATAATAAAGCTTAGTTGGTCTGAGGTGCATAGTTCATATAATGTGGTCTAGCCATTTATTTATTTTTTGCTGTTCATTTCATCTTTAGTTTTTTGAAGTTAATGTTCCATAAGGTATGGTTTTGATTTCAGGAACGATTTTACTTTAAGCTTTAACCTTGCCTAAAAAAACGTTTCCAATTCAGAGTTACAGTTTTTGACGGTGGTAAGAAGATCCTTAAAAGCGTTTTACTGGTTAAACAAGCCAACCCTTTGAATGATCCTACGTAAAGGGACTGGTAACATAAAAATATATATCAAAGATTATACATGGATGTTAATAATAAATCGTAAAATTGATATAATAATCAACAGACAATTTCAAATTCAACACATTATACAAATAGGCGCAGCCGTCATTATATTAGGAGGGTGTACGTGTATATGATGGTAATTATGTTAACTATATTTAACTATGTGCAATTTGAATATGTACAAAGTAATCTATATAGAATATGCTACTCATTAATATGTATTGCTAAATTCTTACATTTCTCCAAAGAATTTTATTTTCGCTAGGAAGGACGAATTCAAATATCTACTGAATGAAGACATTCCTCGACTGAACAAACACGGAAATACGCACACTCAAACACAAAGCGATTTGCAATATTACACTTCCATTATTTCTGTATCAAAACAACACAATTACTCATACAAATACGATATATTATTACTCATTTATCCCTTCATTATGACATCCAAACTGTGTATTCAAGCGACGTGTTGTGTAAACAGAACAACGCAGCTTTACAAAGCGGTCATGCATAATTACAGCCTGGCGACACCATCGCTGTATGTGTTGACTACAGAGTAGGGTGGTGGCGCTCCAAGTCCGGTGGGTAGTTGTATATCCGGTCGGAAGAGATTCTTCACTTTCTGTAAGAATCAACGGAATATGAAAACAAAATGAAAAGCATACAAAATATCAAATATTTTGTCTTTTTTGTTGTTGTAAAATTGCCACCTAAATTTTACAATATAACACTTATCTTAAAAGGTAACGAATAATAATGTTATTAAGATGTAATTATTAAAGTTGGATTATTTTCAGTTATCATATCTATCTAAAATTGCGTACATTATTGTAAAAAAATCTTACTGCTCTGAAAGTAATCCCTGGAGTAACAATGGTCTTGTACACCATATAAAGAGGAATGATCATCACCGAAGACAGCGCCATTAAGGCGCCTATAGCGTGCGCCCAAGTAGGATATTCGTAGTCCACATACTTCACCGCTTTCAACTTAATAAGACGGAACAGCAACACACCCTGTGAACATATAAAGATTTTAGATATGTTGTAATTTAAGTATTTAAGGGAAACATATTTCAAAACATCGATTATTGGAGTAACTATTGTCATTTTAAGATTTTTGGCTAAGCTTTTCGCACATCATAACTTTAAAAAAGTGCGTTGGTATTAATGAATAAACTGTTAACATACAAATGTATCCTGTAATATGATATCAGAATAATTTCTTGTTTTTTTCTCTAAATACAGATGTGAGACATTACACAAGACTTAATTAATCATATGTGAAAAGATAACAATACATTCTTGCTATGATTTTATGGACATGCAAAGTGAAAGTTTTTTAAAATACTGACGATTTCAAGGCAACTCAAAATAAGAGATATCACCTTCGGGGCAAATATCAGTTCTGGCGATGTGTTATCATATTTACTACAAAATATAATGGTTACGTAATTCTTATTTATAGTAATAAAATAAGTTGTTTTCGTTCTATTTGTGAACTGTTGTTTACTCACGAAGCAAATTGCTGGTGTCATGAACGTCCAGCAGAACTTGAAAAATCTGCTTGGGTAGAATCCGAACATACTCCGGAGGTTTTCATAGTACCTATTTACTCCTGAAACAGCACATCGGTGATAAAATAATTCCCAGAAATACGACGTAAGTTAACTCCTAATCAAAATAGGTTTACGATACATGAAGCCAAACAAATTCAATATTCCACGCACCATCTGGTCATCTCGTCCATTTAAGACTCAGTAGTACTTTATCTAAAAACACGTATATCATCATAGGAATTGAATTTGTATATATCGTAAATATATGATTAAATTTAATCAGCATTAAAAACCGATATGATAATCATGAAAATACATATAAAAATATGTTCGTATAATATAACGTAGACTGAGTAATTGTTTCCATTGAGGAAATAACCATATTAGACACCTTCATCGACTCCAAGAGCTACTTTCTCAGACTTTTAAAAAGAACGTCATTATGGTATAGCTTGCCATAGCCCCAAGATACTCTACCGACTCTGTGAGTTACTTTTTAGACTTCTAACATGAACTTTATTACGTTATAACTTACTGTAGCCCTAGGTTACTTCACCGAATCAGTGAGGCACTTTTTCTGATAACTTATAGGAACTTTATTATGTTATAACTTACAGTAGCACCAGGTTACTTTACCGACTCCGTGAGCTACGTTTTCATACTTCTAATAGGAGCTTCACTATGTTATAGCTTACCGTAGCCCCAGGGTAATTCAGCGACTCATGCCATCAGTGAGCTACTTACTTGGACTTCCAATAGGAAGCATAGTATTAAACTGTTTACCAAAGCCACGGGCTACTTCACCGAATCCTCGATCGACGGTTTCAAACTTTAAATAGAAGCTGCATGATGTGATACAATGTAGCTTACCATAGCCCCAAGATACAGCAATGCACTCGAAGAATATCAGACAAAGGAGGCAGAGACCGCTAGCGGAGTAATGGTTGAACAATTCAAACACATATATCCCACCCTATAGAATATATAAATATCTGCATGAAACCTGTAGTTAATAATGGGGAAAACATCATTAACAAAGCCATTAACAAAAAGGTAATACCAATTAAATGTTCAGTTTGAAATGTCTATATGATTTATAAAAGAAAATGGGCACAGTTATAATCTTTGATAACAAAGAACATACAGTCACAACAATTTATTTGATGACTAGTTTATCCAAACAAATTGAATAAAACATATCAATTAAAGTAAAATCTGTCAACATTTTGGTCGTATAGGACCGTTGTTGATTTTTCTTTATTTACAATTATTATATTGTATGTTATTGGCCCGTTATTACATCTGTATTTGCTTGATATATCTGTTATTTAAGAATGCTGCAGACTTCATCAGACAGAATTTAAACAAACATCCTACCTCAGTCACCATTGACAACCCTACGAGATAGGACGCGAAACACACACAAGCTATGAAGATCTCCCTGTTCTTCCTTAGGTATCGAGGCCATTCGTCTATCAGAGCGGTGAAGAATCCCTCCATTGTACAAAACTATAGAAGACATTTTAATCTGTAATTTGCACCCCTAAGTTGCCACTGTTATCATGTTTAACATTATAACACCGTTATATGGTTGTCTCCGTGTTATTAAAATAAACTAATAACGCAGTATGTTTGCCGGTTCAACACACTTTTGCATGATTGCTGTCAGTTATAGAAACAATTACAATATTTGACCTTGCCATAACCAATTATGTTATGTGTTGCCGGTGATAATAACCCTCACGAAGTAGGCAAATAAATGATCAAACTATTAACGTATATTTATATGATAAAAACATGTGCGTCAATAGCCATATTTATTCAGCCACTGATATCTCCAATAAAGAACAAAATATTACGAATGTTCAGGCAATTTAAAAAAAAAAAATATATATATACCTGACTGTCGAGTCCTAACATAAGGACCATGAGAAAGAAGAGCACAGCCCAAAGAGGTGAGATAGGAAGCTTGATGACAGCATTTGGGTAGGCAAGGAACGCCAAACCTGGACCTAAAATAGGACTACAATCATAAATGTATGTGTTCCTTTACTTTTAATAATTTAGTTTTAACTTAAATATGTCACATGGAAAAAAAATGTACTTATTTGGTAGTGGATTACGGTATCGAGAAACTAACTGTATGGAACGCCGAGTACTGAAAATGTATGATGATTCTTGAAACAATGACGTGATGAATATCAAGTTAATCTAATGGCGATTAAATGTAAGATAAATTGAAAACCAGATAATTACTTTAACTGATTGTTCGTAAAGCCATCCTTCAACCGTGTTCTATTTTAAGTCATATTTACGTGTAGAATGTGAAGTGAAACTAAGGTTTTACTCACACTTTACAGCATTCAAAATAGAAGCGAAAAATGACAATATATGCAAAATAAAAAAGTTTATATTTTTCACGGTGGCAAGACGTATGGTTAACAGTTTATGGAGATACTTTTCAATACAGACTGACGTTCTTAATAAAGTATTCCTTTTACACCAGACATATTACCGGAAACTGCGACGTCAGCAACAGCCATCTGTTGTTCCTTGGCCATGAATCCGATTACGGAAAATATGACAAAGCCAGCAAACACACTGGTGCAGCTGTTGAGAATAGAGATGAGCACGGCGTCTCTGAAGGTAAAATCACGACAGACTGTTACACTACATCATATTTATTAACGCATACAGTAAGGCTTGTTTTTCATCAGAAAAGCAGGAAAGTTGTTTCAGACCATCAACTACATCTGTAGACGTTTCGATGGTTAGAACTTTTTTTTTATTAATGTTAACTGCAGTAATTTTCATATCTTGGACAATTAAATTGCGGGATTGTATTGATAACTTGCTGCAAATATTTTAACGATTCGGGAAACTCCATCTTAATCCTTTGACTGAGAAGCAAGAACGTCGTTAAGCATAAGGTTTCATTGTGATAGGTTTCAGAGTTCCTGTGTGATAACATAAGCTGGGTGGCATAGCAACCAGAGCATTGCATGACAGACATATGCAAAAATGTTCAATCAATTAGTGAAGTTTATTTTTGGAAAAGACAAGATCTAAACTTACAGAACATATATGTGGATTATTTGATTATACAACAGAGCATGTCGCCGTGTGTGTATAAAGCCTCTTTAACTGTGTTATGATGTTTGTTTTCTGTGTATCATCTTTGAATCAATAAAGACAGCATTTCATTCTAAGGTCAACGTCATATCAAGCGAGGCGTCTAGTGTCATATTTACAAGTGTACAAATGACGTCATAACTAATCCACATGTCAATAGATGTGTCCAAATTATATTAAACGCTTTGACAGGTTCATACATCATCACTAACATAATTACCGGATCATTAAACTCCATCAGAAGCGTTCCGTGCGCATACGTGTATATTTATTCAAGGATGCCTGTCCCACTGGATACCACAAGTGAATAGTGAATTAAAGATTCGTGTCCCACTGCACACAAGTGAGTAGCAAATTAAAGATTCGTGTCCCACTGCACACAAGTGAGTAGCAAATTAAAGATCCGTGTCCCACTGCTAGCAAAAAAGGTAGAAAATCCATCTGTTCATTTAGTTTCTGAGCTGTAGCTATATCTGGTCAGGATACTTTTGTTGATTAAGTAGCTCAGATTGTTAGCGCGACAGTGTAATATATATATAAAAAAAAACGAAAAAAATACAAAATACAACTTTTGATATAGCGCCCTATCTCGCTAACGTAAGCTACCCTAAAGCGCTTTACAGACATAGATATACAATTTTATACAATCATAACAATAAGCATATACATTAATCAATAAAATATTGAGGAATTCGTAGGAGCTGCCTTATCAGGCGCTAACTACTAGTTCTATGCCACATGGGTAATAGCTCCCTATGTGTGAATGCCTGCGTATGTGCTAAAGATGTAAAGTGTTCTGTTTAAAGTGGGACCGTGCTTCCAACGGTATCATTTATAGTGACACCATACTTGGATGCTACAGCACAGATACCGCAACATCCACCCTAGACCATTTTATACTTCAACTGGGTTGTTTGAGTTGTGTGGGCAGGAGAAAAACACTTTCTTTGAATATTCCATGCGTACGACGACTTCGGGGATCGCACCCCGGCCGCCCATCGATCCCGTAATGATCTTATGTCCAGGGTTCTAATCCTGCTCTGGTCCCGTTGTATTTTTTCACTCAACTTGGAATACTGTAGTTGGTATTTTGTTTTTATCTTAATTTCATTCATTTACGTAAAATTCCCGCAATTTATGCTTTGAGGGGGATAATCAAACTTATACTTACATATTTCAGCTGTGGTACAGAGATTCTTAACAGACATCAACCAAATAGCATACATTGTAAGCAGTTTCCAATCGGAAACCGTCGGCACTTTTCGGAAACGCGAATTTCACGTTTACGGAAAATACCGACGGTTCCCGATTGAAACAGTGATTACCGAGTTGACTTACTTGTAGACGTTGTTGTTGTACTTGTTATAACTGCCCAGTGCGATCAGGGAGCCCAAACCGAGGCCATAGGAAAAGAAGATTTGTGTTACAGCGTCCAGCCAAACCTAAGTCATCGAGAAACTTACATTACAATAATCACAACGGTTACTTTGTTGTAATGTTTAGTTATAAAAAGGTGTGCAGTATGACGTTATGCAGTTTGATACATATGTTGATTTTTTTCTTAAATATCTATATGTTAACTTCTAAATTTCTTAAAGTCAGTTAATAAATGACTATGTTATGACATTATGTTATTGGTTGTTTCAAAACAATGTAACTTTATCAATAACTAGTGTATACACTAACGATTAGGTAAGATCATTTTTGAACATGATACTGCATTAATTACATGTACTTTCATATACTCACTACAGGGTCTTCTTACTAACTCTCAAATCTTCATTTATTCATAAACGAATTCGCTAATTCATTAACAAGAATTGGTCAATTCACTATGGCCTCCTTAATTCATCAATGTAAATGTTACTGCGCTAATGACTATTGTAAGTTCATTAATATTTGTACCATAAAGCATTGATGAATACGCTAATTTACTACTGATTACCTTAATCCACTTCTGACTATTTCCATTTACCAATGACTACGTTAATTCACTAATGACTCAGTTACTTCACTAATGACTCCGTTGATTCATTAATGACTCCTATAATTCACTAATGACTGCGTTAATTCACTAATGACTGCGTTAATTCACTAATGACTCCGTTAATTCAATAATGACTCCGTGAATTCATTAATGACTCCGTGAATTCATTAATGACTCCGTGATTTCACTAATGACTAAGTTAATTTACAAATAAATACGTTAATTCACTCATGACTCCGTTGATTCATTAATGACTCCTATAATGCACTAATGACTGCGTTAATTCACTAATGGCTCCGTTAATTCAATAATGACTCCGTGAATTCATTACTGACTCCGTGATTTCACTAATCACTAAGTTAATTTACAAATAAATACGTTAATTCACTAATGCCTCCGTTTATTCATTAATTACTCCGTGAATTCATTAATGACCCCGTGAATTCATTAATGACTCCGTGATTTAACTAATGACTAAGTTAATTTACAAATAAATACGTTAGTTAACTACTGACTCCGTTGATTCATTAATTACTACGTGAATTCATTAATGAGTCCGTGAATTACCTAATAACTAAATTAATTAACTAATGACTCCGTTGATTCATTAATTACTCCGTGAATTCATGAATGACTCCGTGAGTTCACTAATGACTAATTTAATTTACAAATAAATACGTTAATTCACTAATGACTGCGTTAATTCACTACTGACTCCGTTAATTCAATAATGACTCCGTGAATTCATTACTGACTCCGTGATTTCACTAATGACTAAGTTAATTTACAAAAAAATACGTTAATTCACTTATGACTCCGTTGATTCATTAATGACTCCTATAATGCACTAATGACTGCGTTAATTCCCTAATGACTGCGTTAATTCACTAATAACTCCGTTAATTCAATAATGACTCCGTGAATTCATTACTGACTCCGTGATTTCACTAATCACTAAGTTAATTTACAAATAAATACGTTAGTTAACTACTGACTCCGTTGATTCATTAATTACTCCGGGAATTCATTAATGAGTCCGTGAATTAACTAATAACTATATTAATTCACTAATGACACCGTTGATTCATAAATGGCTCCTATAATTCACTGATTACTGCGTCAATTCACTAATGATTCCGCTAATTCAATAATGACTCCGTGAGTTCACTAATGACTAATTTAATTTACAAATAAATACGTTAATTCACTTATGACTCCGTTTATTCATTAATTACTCCGTTAATTCATTAATGAGTCCGTGAATTACCTAATAACTAAATTAATTAACTAATGACTCCGTTGATTCATTAATTACTCCGTGAATTCATTAATGAGTCCGTGAATTAACTAATAACTATATTAATTCACTAATGACACCGTTGATTCATAAATGACTCCTATAATTCACTGATTACTGCGTCAATTCACTAATGACTCCGCTAATTCAATAATGACTCCGTGAGTTCACTAATGACTAAGTTAATTTACAAATAAATACGTTAATTCACTAATGACTGCGTTAATTCACTAATGACTCCTTTAATTCACTAATGACTCAGTGAATTCATTAATGACTGCGTTAATTCATTAATGAATCCGTGATTTCACTAATGACTAAGTTAATTTACAAATAAATACGTTAATTCACTAATGACTCCGTTGATTCATTAATTACTCCGTGAATTCATTAATGACTCCGTGAATTAACTAATAACTAAATTAATTCACTGATGACTCCGTTGATTCATAAATGACTCCTATAATTCACGGATAACTGCGTCAATTCACTAATGACTCCGTTAATCCAATAATGACTCCGTGAATTCATTAATGACTCCGTGAATTCATAGGAGTCATTTATGAATCAACTAATAACTAAATTAATTCACTAATGACTCCGTTGATTCATAAATGACTCCTATAATTCACGGATAACTGCGTCAATTCACTAATGACTCCGCTAATCCAATAATGACTCCGTGAATTCATTAATGACTCCGTGAATTCATTAATGACTCCGTGAGTGCACTAATGACTGAGTTAATTAACAAATAAATACGTTAATTCACTAATGACTCCGTTTATTCATTAATTACTCCTATAATTAACTGATAACTACGTTAATTCAATAATGACTTCATGAGTTCAGTAATTACTACGTTGATTTATTAATAAGACTCCGCAAATTCACTAATAATTCCGTTTAATTACTAGTGACTTAGTTATTCCTCTAATGACTCTTATAATTCACTGATAACTGCGTTAGTTCACTAATGACTCCGTGTATGCATTTATGACTCCGTGAGTTCGCTAATGACTAAGTTAATTTACAAATAAATACGTTGACTCATTAATGACTCCTATAACTCACTGATAACTGCGTTAATTCACTATTGACTCCGGTAATGAATTAATTACGACACTAATTCACTAATGATCCGTGAATTCAGTAATGACTCCGTTAATTTACTAATAAGACTCCGTAAATTCATTAATAATTTCTTTAATTACTTATGACTTAGTTATTCCTCTTATGACTCCGTTAATTCACTAATGACTCTGTGAATTGAATTATTGACTCCGTTAATTTACTACGCAAGTAATGCTTTATACATCGATAACAATGTTGTAACTAACATACATTAAAATGTCTTTGCTTATATTTTCAATTACAGGAAATCACTCGAGTAATTAGGATGTAACTTTCTATTCATTGGGCATTTAAGATATTAACTGTTTACCCCTGAATCCGCCAGTTTAGAGACATCTGGGTATATATAATACCGGATGCCATCCCACGCTCCCGGAAGTGTGACTCCTCTAATGAGGAGAATGGTTAACAGGATGTAAGGAAAGATTGCCGTGAAGTAGACTACCTACAACAGATGAAAATACGTCATTACTCCCCTAGTATGACTTCTCATGAACGGCTCAAGCAGAGCGATATCCTTGTCCACCAAATCGAATATTTTCTCAAATAGATTTCCGATTGGAACAATTCGTCATTTGAAGAACCACAAGTAAGATAACATTTAATGAATAACAATAAATTTACGATTTTTGGGTGAGATAAATGTAAACGTTGAAACAGACATATCAAGGAAACCTCAATTTAGTTGTCTATTGCTGATTTGATAGGCGAACGATACTATTGGAAAATGCAAACAATAAAAGGGGAAAAAAAGAAAAAAGGCATATTCTGAATTAATTTTCTGTTATCAAAAATTATCACTTTTACAATAATTTTTCTTAGCAGTGTAATAAACGACTCTTAATTGTTGAAAATTTTGGTAATTTGTTCACATTCAATGATTACCCTGTGCTAGCTGTGGGGAACATAAAACCAAAATGATTGTGATGTTTATTAAGTTACAATGTTTAGCCACTAAAAGCCATGAACTAATATCTTCGAAAAAAAACGAAAAATTTGAGATTACTAGCATAAATCACTCATGTGAGATATTAATAGAAGCATATCAACTCATTAGAAAGATTTGTTTTTGGCCTAAAATAGCTGCTTCGTTGTTAACTGACATAAGTATAAAATAAAGCATATGGTTCGATTGGGCTTTATGTTATCAAATCTGTATTTAAACATGGAACAATATTTTTCATGATTGCATCATGGTTTTTTGAAACATCTTCTTTTGATGGAAAATAAAAAAGTAAACAAAACAATGAGTTAACCAGTCATTCATAAATCTAATTTCCATGCATTAATATATACCTTTTAGGATATAACATTAGTTAAATATAACTATATACACGGCGATGCCTACCTTTCCGGTCCATGTGATACCTTTCCATATACAGAAATAACACAACACCCAGGCAAGGAGCAGACACAGGGCCAGCTGCCAACGTACCCTCCCAGGGTCGTCAACTCCCGTGCTCACCTCCAGAACATGGCGTCTAAAAGGTCAAACATCAGTCCTAAATTGCATCATAATCCTACTATATAAATTTACATTTTTGATGTCCAATGACTAGCACTATTTATTGCAGAGATCTTGAGCGCTTGAAGTAATAATGTTTTGTTTTGCTTAGTCTTGGCAAAACAATTTAACTGTTGTAACGAGTGTACCTTAATGAGTAGGTAAGTAGATATATGCGATTTACTTGAAAGTAACATCTGTTTTTAAAGTAGTACCCATATGAAAACACGTGCATATTGAACTTGCTTCATAGAACAAAGTTACATCTCATGCGGGTCGGTATTATCTTCATCAGCATTTTGTAACATAAAAGCAGAACAGATGTCCGCTTTTATATCTGGTATCCATATCAAACAAAAAATAGCGCGTTTTTAGCATTTTTATTTTTCCAGACCTTGTTCTCGTACAATATGCATACACAACTATATTTTTTATTTAAAAAACTCTTTTCGTAAAACCAATTACATCATGTACGTAAAATGAACAAACAGAATGTACTCACTCCCAATACTCTCGAACAGGGGAGGTAAATGGCATGGCGGTGCAGTTAAACCCCGCATACGACATCTCCATAGCAGTAACATTTTCGCCCATCGTCGTGTTGGCTTCCGTCCAACTAGTGCCATTTGTGCAGTTGTAGAATGACCACTGGCGATTGTACTCGGACTTACAGAGGTCTGTGTTCCACCAGTTACCACACGTTGACCAGGGAAGTATGTTAGTGAATGAGTTAAACAGATAGTAAATCGCCCAGGCCAAAATTACAACATAGAAAATGTTGAGCCATGCGGCCATAACGGCGGCGGCGTACCCGACACCTGCAGAGGAAATAGGACATTAATAAAATCGTCTATTTAACGTTTGTATATTGGGTAGAACATTCTTACATCATCAAATTGCAAAAGTTTCGGTTTATCTGAGAACTTTCCTCTGAGGTAATAAAAACTTCCACTATAATTGTTTTACATGTCAATAGTTCAATAAGTGATAAATATTATTCAATCATGCCTGAAAGCTATAATCGTTAAGAAGGAATTGTGACGTTTCCATCAACAAAAGATATCGTTCATAATCAAAAGGCGCCTTATTATAGCAGAGAGATTGGCATACAACGCGTTCCTCCCAATCAAATTTTTTACTATTACATCTATCTAACGATGTACGCAAAAGTATTCCCTATGTGATATCATTCTACCATAATACACTTTAACCATACCACTAGAACTAAAGATTTGTTTAATATTAAACTCACAAATCTCCATTTTCTGTTGCAATATACTTGAAGAATATTTAACGTGTATCAATATGTATCAATAAGCATAGCTCATAGCGTCAGGCTAGAGAAGCATAATGTGAAAAGGCAATACGTAAGGATACTGGTAGGTATATCACTGTTTAATGATTTATACAATAGTTTGAAGAATTTTAGAAAATATTAATTCGTTACAGTTTACGCTAAATTTCTAAGTTTTGTGTAGTTTTGGGGAAACATTCAAAAAGACTTATGTTTCCCGGGGATATGGGAAATATTAAACAACACAAATACTTTTTGATCTTTATAAAGGCTCAGTAAAACAATATTTATAACACAACTATTACAATAAATACATCAGGAATATGTTAATGACATCTTACACGTTATGACCATCCATAATGTCACTTTTGTTCTATATTTAGGTAAAGATGAGGTCATATCTTGTATAATATCCTGTTACAGTGAAAAAAGTGTACATAGCTAAAAGAAATGCATTTTCTTATAAGTAACAGGACATCGAAGAGCCAATATTTTTACAAGTGCATTTATCTTAGAGTAAATTATTAACATAAACTTAAACAGTGATATATCCAATTTTTAATGCATGCGCTTTAAAAAGATAGAGTGTAAGATGGTGAAATTTTGATTGTTTTCAAATTTGACATGTTCTTACTATTACATATAACCCAAAGTGTGTGCTACGATATTGTATTTGACAGTTGCTTTTATGTTGCGTCAGCTAAGATTATATCACAGTGTTTTTTTAATATAACCTTTGAAAATTGGAGATATTTTCCAGACACTGAGGCCCCCAGTACTCTGCCATTGTCCTAGTGAGAGCTCCAGAAAGTACATAGGTATCCCAGCAAACACGGAAGTCAGTAGGTACGGGATGAGGAAGGCTCCTGTCAAGAAAGAGAAGTATTATTGTGTCTTTACTCATTCATGAATACCGTACATATGAGATATATGGTGGAAGATGGATGTCGCGTTTGATCGCCATTAAAAGAGGAACACAATGTGGCCCCTGATCTTTGAATTTTTTCTTCTGAGATTTGAATATTGTGCTTAGACCGAGTAAACTGTTTCAGGAGATGGTACTATAAGTCCGGTGCAAATATAACGAAATGTTTACATCATGCTTACCTTTTAAAAATTGCTTTACAGAAATCAAGGTACCTACTGCTACCCCCTACATGTTATACATATAAGTGGAAACTAATGTGGGGACCGCCTGCAGAAATAGGGATTTTCTTTTGTACCATCTGCTTTGGAACAAAAAGTTGTCAAAATAAACTTTGTTCACCCATTTTAAATCTTTATGTTTCTCTGTCCTTATTTACAACCTTTTTGTCTCCCAGCGTCTCGGTAATATTTTAAGTTTTGGTCTTAGTGTTGAACGTTTCCAAAAGGGGGAGGCATTGGGTTCTGTGCCAAGAGTGGGAAATACCAAACCTTTAACAATGGTAGTTGGTATCACTTGCTAAACGTTCGGAGTCGCCGCAACGGTATTTCAGTGAGAAAGTGAGAAAACAAATGGCATTGTCCCCGTGAGGTTTGAAGGGCGAATCCAAAAAGTATTCCAATGTTTTTCTGCTTATGGAAATTCGAAGTCATATGCATGTCGACTTTTTCAGGGAAATTGACGACATGTTTATTAACATAATCGATTATCTAAAGTACGCAACTTACACAACCAGTAATATATGTAGACAAAACTATTCCTAGAAAATGCATTGTGACCTGTTTGGTGATCACGTCTGCTTGCCAAGCTACGTATCGAGGTATACCGTTTGATTGTTACCATATAACTTATCATGATAAAAAAAAACATCAGCATGACTACTTCAGCAATAATATTAAATCAGAATATTACAAGAAAACAAGGTCATTGTTTGATGTCCTCACCCATGGATTCTGTAACTAATATCGTTGCTGCCGATTGCCTTAATATATCCTCTGATTAAAATGATCGTTACAGCTCAACCGAATATTCCCTCTATTCTTGGTACTACAGGAAACCTTGGTATCTCTATCTAATATAAGTACGAAAGGTAACCCATGTTTCTACTCTAATATGCCTACTATAGGTAACCCTTGGTTCTTACTAATATGGTTATTACTGGTGACCCTATTATTTCTATCTTATATTGAACAACAGGTAAGCGCAGCATCTACTATATTAAATAAAAACATTACACCACAATATCTACTCTTTCTCATATGTAAAAGTCACGTACGTAACACCTCTATATAATCTGGTTACAAAAAGGTCAACCTTATTTCTCCCTTGTTTATTACAGTGACAACAAGACACCTACGTATCTACCCCGTTTATGTGGGAACACCAGATTACTCTTGTCCCTTCCCTGTTTAATGCAGTTACAATAGGTTAACCTTGTATCTCCCCTTTTTATGGGGTAATACAAGGTGACTCTTGTATCTCCCCTGCTTAATGCGGTAACTACGGGTCATCTTTGCATCTAACCTGTTTAATGCGGTTACAATACACTTGTAGGCCATCCTGGTATCTGACTTGATTAATACGGTAACAACAGTCATCCCTGTATCTCCCTTGTTTAATGCGATACAATAGGCTACTCTTGTATCTCCCTTGTTAAATGTGCTTACAACAGACATCCCTGTTTCTCCCCAGTTTAATGTGGTTACAACAGACATTCTTGTTTCTCCCCTCTTTAATGCGGTACAACAGTCATCCTTGTATCTCCCCTGTTTAATGCGGTAACAATAGGTCAACCTTGTATTTCCTCTGTTTAAAGCCGTTACAACAGGTCCACTTGTATCTCCCCAGTTAAATGTGGTTACAACAGTCATCCTTGTATCTCCCCTGTTTAATGCGGTTACAACAGTCATCATTGTATGTCCCCTGTTCAATGCGGTACAACAGTCATACTTGTATCTCCCCTGTTTAATGCGGTACAACAGTCATCATTGTATGTCCCCTGTTCAATGCGGTACAACAGTCATACTTGTATCTCCCCTGTTTAATGCGGTTACAACAGTCATCATTGTTTGTCCCCTGTTTAATGCGGTACAACAGTCATCATTGTATGTCCCCTGTTCAATGCGGTACAACAGTCATTCTTGTATCTCCCCTGTTTAATGCTGTTACAACAGTCATCATTGTTTGTCCCCTGTCTAATGCGGTACAACAGTCATCATGTTCAATGCGGTACAACAGTCATCCTTGTATCTCCCCTGTTTAATGGGGTTACAACAGTCATCATTGTATGTCCCCCCTCATCATTGTATCTCCCCTGTTTAATGCGGTTACAACAGTCATCATTGTATCTCCTCTGTTTAATGTGGTTACAACGGTCATCATTTTATATCCCCTGTTTGATGTGGTTACAACAGTCATCATTGTATCTCCCCTGTTTGATGCGGTTGCAATAGGTCATCCTTGTATCTCGCCAGTTTAATGCTGTTACAATAGGTCAACCTTGTATGTCCCCTGTTTAATGTGGTTACAAGAGTCATACTTGTATCTCCCCAGTTAAATGCGGTTACAATAGGTCAACCTTGTATCTCCCCTGTTTGATGCGGTTGCAATAGGTCATCCTTGTATCTCGCCAGTTTAATGCTGGTACAATAGGTCAACCTTGTATGTCCCCTGTTTAATGCGGTTACAAGAGTCATACTTGTATCTCCCCAGTTTAATGCGGTACAACAGTCATCCTTGTATGTCCCCTGTTTAATGCGGTACAACAGTCATCATTGTATGTCCCCTGTTTAATGCGGTTACAACAGTCATCATTGTGTGTCCCCTGTTTAATGCGGTACAACAGGCATCATTGTATGTCCCCTGTTTAATGCGGTTACAACAGTCATCCTTGTATCTCCCCTGTTTAATGCGGTACAACAGGTCATCCTTGTATCTCGCCAGTTTACTGCTGTTACAATAGGTCAACCTTGTATGTCCCCTGTTTAATGCTGGTACAACAGTCATCCTTGTATCTCCCCTGTTTAATGCGGTTACTACAGTCATCCTTGTATCTCCCCTGTTTAATGCGGTACAACAGGTCATCCTTGTATCTCGCCAGTTTACTGCTGTTACAATAGGTCAACCTTGTATGTCCCCTGTTTATTGTGGTTACAAGAGTCATACTTGTATCTCCCCAGTTAAATGCGGTTACAATAGGTCAACCTTGTATCTCCCCTGTTTAATGCGGTTACAAGAGTCATACTTGTATTCATTCTTGTATCTCGCCAGTTTAATGCTGTTACAATAGGTCAACCATGTATGTCCCCTGTTTAATGCGGTTACAAGAGTCATACTTGTATTCATTCTTGTATCTCGCCAGTTTAATGCTGTTACAATAGGTCAACCATGTATGTCCCCTGTTTAATGCGGTTACAAGAGTCATACTTGTATCTCCCCTGTTTAATGCGGTTACAACAGTCAACCTTGTATCTCCACTGTTTAATGCGGTACAACAGTCATCATTGTATGTCCCCTGTTTAATGCGTTTACAACAGTCATCATTGTATGTCCCCTGTTTAATGTGGTTACAAGAGTCATACTTGTATCTCCCCAGTTAAATGCGGTTACAATAGGTCAACCTTGTATCTCCCCTGTTTAATGCGGTTACAAGAGTCATACTTGTATCTCCCCTGTTTAATGCGGTTACAACAGTAATCATTGTATGTCCCCTGTTTAATGCGGTTACAACAGTCATCATTATATCTCCCCTGTTTAATGCGGTACAACAGGTCATCCTTGTATCTCCCCTGTTTAATGCCGTTACAACAGTCATCATTGTATCTCCTCTGTTTAATGTGGTTACAACGGTCATCATTTTATATTATCTCCCCTGTTTAATGCGGTTACAACAGTCATAATTGTATCTCCTCTGTTTAATGTGGTTACAACGGTCATCATTTTATATTATCTCCCCTGTTTAATGCGGTTACAACAGTCAACCTTGTATCTCCACTGTTTAATGCGGTACAACAGTCATCATTGGTTACAACAGTCATCATTGTATGTCCCCTGTTTAATGCGGTACAACAGTCATCCTTGTATGTCCCCTGTTTAATGCGGTTACAACAGTCATCCTTGTATCTCCACTGTTTAATGCGGTACAACAGTCATCATTGGTTACAACAGTCATCATTGTATGTCCCCTGTTTAATGCGGTTACAACAGTCATGTATCTCCCCAGTTAAATGCGGTTACAATAGGTCAACCTTGTATCTCCCCTGTTTGATGCGGTTGCAATAGGTCATCCTTTTATCTCGCCAGTTTAATGCTGTTACAATAGGTCAACCTTGTATATCCCCTGTTTAATGTGGTTACAAGAGTCATACTTGTATCTCCCCAGTTTAATGCGGTTACAATAGGTCAACCTTGTATCTCCCCTGTTTGATGCGGTTGCAATAGGCTTGTATCTCGCCAGTTTAATGCTGTTACAATAGGTCAACCTGGTATGTCCCCTGTTTAATGCGGTTACAAGAGTCATACTTGTATCTCCCCTGTTTAATGCGGTTACAACAGTCATCCTTGTATCTCCCCTGTTAAATGCGGTTACAACAGTCATCATTGTATCTGCCCTGTTTAATGCGGTACAACAGTCATCCTTGTATCTCCCCTGTTCAGGTCATCCTTGTATCTCGCCAGTTTAATGCTGTTACAATAGGTCAACCTTGTATCTCCCCTGTTTAATGCGGTACAACAGGCATCCTTGTATCTCCCCTGTTTAATGCGGTACAACAGTCAGCATTGTATGTCCCCTGTTTAATGCGGTACAACAGGTCATCCTTGTATCTCCCCTGTTTAATGCGTTACAACAGGACCTCCTTGTATCTCCCCTGTTTAATGCCGTTACAACAGACATCATTGTATCTCCTCTGTTTAATGTGGTTACAACGGTCATCCTTGTAT